TTTATTAGTTCGCAGCTGGAACATGAAATCCAAACCTCGTACATATGACTAGAAGATACAAGTCCCTGGAAGGGGTTCATAGGAGGACGACATTGTTTCATAAATTCAGACTTAATACACTTAATTTATTCTTACTAAGTACAGACATATCCTGAGCCATTGGGACTGTGTCCTGAACCAATACTTTTGTTTCACACTGGCTAGAACAGCTAACCTGCCTAGGAATTCACACAAACTTTGAAGAACCCTTCAAGCAGTTCCTCTAGCGTCCCGTTTAACGGCGTCTCCCTGTTTGATTTTAATTGTGACAACCACGCTAATATGCAGTTACATTACTGACGCTTGGTCACTACCTGGTCCTAAGCTGGTTCGCTTCATGTTCGGCGTCGCCTTACGACCTGAAATTTACCCCTATGCGCTTGGAATCAAGCGCGCGGACTCCCCATAGATAAATCAAATGCATGTCCACCACCCAGCTGGACATACCTCCCTTTATTAACGCGATTCGACATGCTGCGTAAACAAAAACCACGTCGAAAACTTTTCAAACGGATGTTTTATTTGACGCGCAATCAAAAAGGCAACTGCGCATAAACTTGTGGCCTATTTGCCTAAAAATACCGTTGGACCTAAAAGGAAAGCCTTGTTACACCAAAAGACGTTTCACACATGCCTGACACTAGCAAAGGTGAATATTATTTAGTTTTTCTCACTACATTCGGCGACTGAGCATGTCGCGGTTTCAATCCTACATTATTGCAGTAACACCCTTTAAAATGCATACTTAACTGGCTATACGAAAGCAAAATGTTTATTTGAACTCTAGTACATGCTGCACTGCTTTTAATATTGTCTTCTGAAGCATTGCATGGTTCTCTGAAGTACACCAAATATGTACTGAACGTTCATTCGTAATCATCGGCCTGCCAAAGTGCGGCAGTAAAAAATTCGAGGTAAATTAAGTTCATATCCAAAGATCCAACGACCTGATTCTCAAGGAAACTTTTGCGTCTCTTCTGGTTGCGTTCGAGCAAGCAGTACATTTAGAAGAAAGTCAGCCATACAGTTAAATGTCAGTAAACCTGGCATCCCAGAATACACCTACAGGCAATGAAAGGCTGTCATTGACAGTAGCCGTGTGCATTTCTAATGCGCGTAATATGTGCATCTTACTGTGCGTTAAAAGTCAGAAACGCACAACTATTTTGCCTTCTACTGAGCACAGCATTGCGCATATCGTGTTCGGTTTCAGAAGGCACATGTTGAACTAAACGTCATTAGTTAAGACTGACGGAAAGACCACCGAGCACAAAACGCAGACCTAAAAGTAAGCCAAAAATTAACGTAACCGGATAAACCGCACTACCAATAACTTAGTTACCCTGCTAGCATCGCCACATCCTGTCCCGTCAAGCCCCCGGTGTCAGAAGGAGCTATTGTTATGCCCCTGGACTTGGACAGAGTTGTTTGAATGAGGTGACACTTTTCCGCGCGAGGACATAGGGTGGAGATGGCGTAGTCGCGTGTCGGTGAAGATAACCGGTGTCCCTCCCTCTCTCTTCTGTCGATCCCTTTCCCCCTCGTCGTACCGCAACGTAACGTATCGTCCAAACCGCTCGCCTCCTCGTTACATCGGCACTCCCTCGGCCCTTCCCTGCAGTTGCCCCCAGCGCTGCGCTCCCCACCGGGTTACTAGCTGGCATGTTGGCATCGTCTCTCCACCCAGACAGGTCATTCTACAGATGTAACCATCCTTCCCGTACTATTAACGATTATTATACGTTTCCCCGTGCAATCTCGTCATATTACACTTTATCTCTTATTCGACATGCCTTCTTATTCTTCTGTGTATGGATGCGTATCAAGGAATGCTAACAGCTCCGTTCAAGTCTACCCCGGCCAAGAGCTCTTCTCGGCGTTCCCTTACTCCGGTGTGTGCTACCCTTGACGTCCTCGGCCGCTACACTATGACCAATATGGGAGGGGCTAGGCAGGGGGCTGTGGAGGCGATAGCCCCTTATTGTCCCGTCCTCGAAAAAAACGCGCAGGGCGACGCCATCCTCTCCGTGATATTAAACCCAATTTTTTCTTTATCGGTATTCTCCCTTACCTAATTCCTCGTACATTAGGTTCTGCTATGCTACATATGATCGCGGAACACCCATACCACTTGCGTGTATTAAATGAACCTCACTCTCCTTTCCTTCAGTGATTGTGCCGACAAATCAAATGTGTACCGAGCTCTACACGAAGGAGTGGTGAAGTAATTCACCAAGCTAACTGAGTGATTTTAATGTAGTGAGGAATATTCTCTTCTGCGGAGTGTTTGAGCTAAGTGATCCCGACCGAAACTAATTAAAAATACATTTACAGAATTTTCCATAGAACACCTTAGTGCCCTGTGTGCTGATGCAGCGGCCACAAAGATGCCAAGCCTGCTGTCGGGCAAGGTGTGGCCAAGCTAGTTGAGAAATCTGAAAAACATCTCTTTGGTAAACTAAACTAAGCTGCATAATGCAAACATGACCGACTTAAACAAGGCCAATATTTGTCCAAGTGAAGAATTAAGTTCTATCGATTCTATGCCCCTCGAAACGCATTTTACAGGCCAAACAGCATATATTTAACGATAATAGAGCACAATTTGTCCGATATCAGGCAGACTGACGTCATTAGAAAGGATAGAATTTCATCAAAATTGGACAGGGCCTAGCCACATATAACTCTGGATTGCCACCGGGGCCATGTGTTGGCAGGGTTAGTACTCACAGTCCGCAGAGTAATAGGCCAGCCCTTGTTATTTTAGACGAAATAGAAACCATCCAAAGAGCCTCGTGAATCAGTTTTGTTGTGGAAATTTGCCTGCTCAGAACTAAGGATGACGGTTGATTAATAAGTGCAGTCTATCCCGAGTTAATTTCCATTTCGAAATCCGGCGAACCAAAGACAAAGGAACATATTTACTTCTGTTTGTAAAATATTCGATAAACCATTAAATAATTGTAACTCCTTTCCTTCAGAGTTAATTTAAGAAACACAAGCCGCACTGAAAAGGTCGCTCTGTGTTAATGACCAAACGATCGCTGCAGGCACTCATGAAATCCTCGACGAAAAACAAACTATGTGCAGCAGGACACATCAATTGTCCCAGCCACACGCAATAATGCCGGCCAGCACATGGCCCCGTGGGGCTTGAGGGGACTAGGTGTGGCTGACGCTTGCAAGGGAATACAAGACGTTGCTTTTGGAAAATTGATCGCTATTCTCATGACTGGAGAAGTCGTTTGAACAGCATATTTTGTTGAATTATAGGACAACATACGAAAAACGCATTCTGAACTGCAATTTAGCCCTCCTTGTTAGTCATTTGCAGATGGCGTCATGGAATTTGAGGATATGTAACAGACCTATTGAGCGGGCTAGCGTTTTAAGTCGGCAGTTATAGTTCCACTGAGACTGTGACTACGTGGACTAACTTTTCGCATAATAGCTCGAAGTTTTGTCGAAAATTTTAACGGGTATTATTGGGGACGAGAGGTTTATGTGACTAGTTTGCCATAAAACTACAAAACTATATAAATTGGCAGGTGGGAAATTAATCGCACGGGAACTCCCTAATAAAATGATTGCCTTTTCGCCCCCATCCAACATATTAATTGTTGCCTTTTCGTCCTAATTTTGGCTGATGGCGTGATAAGGTTGACTGTTTGGCTCATCGATACTGGCGCATGGAACAATTCTCTACGTGTGACTAATTAACATTCACGTACTGTGGAATATGCTAAAGGTAATTATTGTTGGACTGCAATTTGCAGTACTGACACTGGGATGATAAGAGATTCGACGGACGCAGGGCTGTAGATGGATCCCGTTGAATAAGTGACCGACCCTTTTGCTATAAACTTCTATGGCTTCTGATTAGCGAAATACTGTTCGGAGATATTGGCTACCTCAGACTTCAGCACGGCCGCAGGACGAATGTATTCCATGTAATTCATTTGCTACGAAAATTTATTCAGGACAAATATTTCCTCGTGGTTCTAAATACCTGTTAACAGTGGCCTCAGCGAGAGTCGTGGGCTCTGGTCTTGATCAGCGACACGACCCACGTTTACTACCGGATGAAGCATAAGTAATTTTATTCTAACATGGAACTCTGGCCGTTAGTCGATTCGTTTACCGGCAAAACTGCCATCAACTCCATCAGTTTATCAACCGGGCACATCAACATACTTTCATATTATAGAGATAATAGCTTCGAGGACAGGATAAAATCCTGACGAGCCCGACGGTTCTTGCAATTCATGATGACGTACTCATCCTCCAACCCTTCACAGAATGGAATACGTGGGTATGCCTTGACTAGGAAGACCCTCGCTGCTGAATGCATGTGAATGTAGCACGTATAACTACAGTAGAATGCTTCATTGTGTTCCTCTAAGCATTCTGACTACTAATAATGGTGGTGCGACAAGATTTCCCTCCAACCAAAAAGAGCTGACATTCGCGCTAGTATTATCGAATAACACACCACAGAACACGTATTTATGAAGCTGCCCCAATCGGTGCTCAGAGAAAATGCCAAGAATTTTGAGTCTGTGATGAGTCTTGCCGCCTTTACCGACGTACGCCGCATATTATTCATCTCGTTTCTGCAAGTTCTGCTAAAGTTACCTGCCCTTATCAAATCCAGTCTTTTTGTTCTGTTCCCTGTATGGTGACTTGCGTTCTAGGTTTTATTTATCCGAGGACGTCGACAGTTTCAACAGTATTTCGTATATGTAGATAAATAGCCCGATTTTTTTGCGAATTTAAGACTCCGTCAACAAAACCACCCACGTTTTCAAGGGTTGACTTTCTGCGTAGCTGAGTGGTTTGCAAGAAGCGCATGTGACGGCTGCCGGAGATCCCACGCTCCGTTGGAATCATTGGTCCTTGAGAAACAAGTCGCGAAATGCATATATACAGCTGGTTTCTCTAACCAGCTTGGATTGAGGACTATGTTGCTTATATTGGGCCTTATTTGTTTGCTTCCGTTAACGGGTAATTACCTCTGACCTGGTTGCAATTTTAGCTTTAATGCTCCAAGCCTAGTTATATTACAAGTTATCTTCTCATGATTATCATTGTTATAATCAGCAGTATGCTTGATCATCAGTGCATAAACGGCCATTTATTGTCTCTCGTTCTGGTGAATCCTTCCTGATCAGAGATCGCAAGGCGTTACATAAATATGACACAAGGGTTCGATTACATGTAGCATCTTTAAATGACTCTCGTGTTTTTGACTGTTAGGTCTAGGTATACTGTGTCTACGCGACTTGGTGCATGCTTATAACGTGGCCCAGGAAAGGCCAGTTGATAGATTGCTAAATACGTTTCGTCAAGGAGAGCTCCGTAACTATAACTGGAGTTATTTAGTTGTAGTGCAAATTCTGCCGCTATATCCGGACAAGTGTTAACTTTTTGTCAAACATCAAGGCAAAGTCATGATTATTTCCCATTTCGTCGACCCTGATGGCATACGGTAACACTTTAGCAAGAAAATTAGATCAAAGTCAGTCTAAGTATCATAAAAATAGAATGCTGAAGGAGTTGCGCCTTGCGGTTACAATTGAAATGCACTAGACGTTTATTTTATATTTACTGAAGTCATCGTAGTCCTTGCAACAAATGACGGTTTACTTGCTATTAGGTAAAGACCTATCAAGCATCAAATTTTCTGCGCTTATTTCTGATACGTTAGGTAAAAATGATTTTTTAATTTGATGCCTACATACCGCAAGACGCTTTTAACATCACCTTTGCAAATAGCATTACAAAAACTTATGTCTGCCACTAGCGTTTTTCAGCCAACCTTTGAGCGGCTTCAGTTCGACTAATAAAACTGATTAGTCACACATCTAACTGGGTCTGCGGGCCTAATAACAACGTTATAATAAAGGAGTACACTTCCATTTTAGCCAAAGCCGGAAACGAGTTGGATACAAATATCATCACGGCAACTGGACAATGTCAGCCGTTTGGTGTTCGTCTTCCGTATGCTCCAACAGTGCGTTTAACAAACATTCGCGTGACATGTTACACAGAAATGGAAATAATCAATGCTTCATTTAAAATGGCCTGCAAACTTTAGATTACTTAAAGTTACGGCCAATATCATCACGAAAAACCGCACAAACTAGAAGATCAAATTAAAACAATTCAAACAGTGCGATTAATGTCAATTGACCAAGTCTGATTGAAGTATCCTATTATGCTTTGTTGAAAAAATTCCTTACAACGGACAGTGCGTTTTTCATTAGGTTTTTATTAGGTGTTTTCAAAACCAAGTGGTCGACGATGGACTGACGTTCACTAACAAATATTAAGAAGCTTCCTAGAAATGGCTTCACAACCTTTTTAAGCTTACGAATCAGGAGGACAGAATTTCGATTCGCATGCAGAATTAATTACTTAAAATTAAATATATTTTATGGACGGCCTAATTCTCCTACCACGCTCACATTCGTTTTTTGCCTCCTCCGTTTAGATGTTCATTTTAGATTTCGAGAACTTTTACTTTGAGGACAGTTTCTGCTACTCAGCCACTGACTGGAACAAGTACATGCAGTGCGCGCTGGAACAAGGTAGATTTGTTACGGATTGGATTTTGGAGTATGAAAAAGCTAACTTAAGTGTTCCACTCTAAGACCAGTTGTGTCGTTCCTTGCAAAAGCAGCCCGAGAAAAAAGTCCCGCAGAATTTTCAAATTCTCTGAGCCCGAGGGCACAAGACAGAACAAATGAAAGGGTGCAATTGTAAACAAAGACAGCGTAAAGCAAGTAGTGCTCTTGTAAGGGCGTTTTTCGCGCTGCCCTTTTCAGTGCTCGTTTCTGAACCAAGAGATAATCGCCTATTAGAAATAAAATCTGCAAATAATTGATCGTAGAGTTAACTGTTAAATGAATCATCAAATTATACGGACTGTCTTATGCGCCTGACTTTCGACATGTAGAAAGATGCATATAAAGTTTCGTTTAGATCCTACGATATTGCTAATTCCGTTTGAGACTGGCAAACCTGCACGTGCTTTATTTAACCTGTAACGCTGTCAAGCAAATTTAAGTACCTCAATATCTGCCACACTACCCTGTAATTCTATCCACAAAAATAAATGCCAACTTCACCTCCTTTAAGATGGCTCTGGATATATTGCAAACCTTACGGTCTGTGATCCCCAGAATCACATACGACTCAGTTGGCGGATGCCCCAATTCTTTGAACTCGTCAGTATGTCCTACATAACTCAATTCTTCATGCCCAACGGTGTATGGGAGAAAAAGAGCGAATGTACGTTTTGGGTAATTTTATAGGTATTAATTTACTTCTTTTGGCCGTTCGCTTCCTCCTAAGCTCTGAGTTTTTATCACTGTAGACTGCCTGCAACCAAATTACTCCACTCCGCTGATTCGAGCTGACCTCAAAGCCGACTCCGAAGAAATCAAGTGTGTCATCTACCTGCCGTCTTGTTACTACAGTGAATATGTGAGCCACATAATGTTTTCGTCAGTATTCCAGTCAGAATGTCTAATAGAATCCACCGGTTAGCGTGTATCTGTGCAAAGGATTTGAAATTCGATGCAGACCTTATACCAAAATTTTTGGATATTAGTATTACCTACGAAATTTGCATCTATGATACGGTAGGAGAATTATGGACCTAAAATTAGCATCTTCTTACTAAATAGTCCATTGCGAAGAGGGGAGCTGTGAACGGTTCAATCTAAAAATCCATTTATAAAATCAAATTTGCGTGAATCTTGCATATTTTCTTACTATTGAGTTTATTCAGTTTGCTCTTTTTGTAGTATTTTCTCACTTCCACTTTGGCAGATCACAACTTGATGTAACAAAACAAGACTATGTTTTCATAATCATGCGCAAACATGCATAACGCTCTTAGAGCCTTCGCCTGTAAGAGACGAAAAAAGACCTTTAAGTTATCTTGATTGAGGGTTGAAATTTCTACATCTTTCTTAGGTAAGCAGTTTTCCTTTGACCTACATAACATGTGTGATCAAAGCTGGCTTTCGGTTTTGGATGTTTTTGAAATACTTCAGGTCTCCCTTTTGGCGATTAAACCGGCGATTCATAGTTTGATTAAATATAAGCCATTTGCCACAATTTCGACTATTGCATGCTGTAGCCCATGAACTGCAAAGTCACATAAAACGTTTTTCGATCTAAGCATCCGTGATATTAATCTAACTTTTATTTTTCGTAGATTCAAATTAGCGGACTTCACGAAAGTTATTGTGGCGGATATAACCCGACCAAAGCTTGCAGTAAGCGGTTAAATATTGTATTTTGAAGCGTGCGCATTGAACGCCGTATTTAAAGAGTTAGGACTACTTTTTAGAGATACGGTTCGGAAATTCGTATCCTCAAGTTAGTAATTATGTTCTTGAGGAAGATGACTTAACCTTGTTTTCTTAAAAGAAATCAATACATTTATTTTGCTAATCTCAGTCAACAATGTTTGTGACCCTAATCCTCGTTTACCTTGATTTATGTTTCGGGATTTCCTCTATTATTGATAACGCAATAAATCAGTTGGGGCACACATATGTACTCATATATGTAGCGCTGCACACAGGCAGAAAATGTAAACTTAAAATACCGCCAAAAGACGACGGATGTAAGTTGACCATTTCTGATTTTTGAAACGTTGACAGTCATTTATACACAAGCCCTGGTTTAAGTAACCTCAGATTCGGAATCTGAATATCTAGGCATTTAAGTCGGACGCTCAAACATTTAAATAATATAAACATAAACAGTAGATGTGCTAACTCATGAAATGTTAATCGAAATTCTGGAATGTGTTTTCGATTCGAAGATATTTCTTAAGTGGCATTGCAATATAATCCCATGGATAATTCAGTTACTTCAGTATGCTGGCTTTTGAATTATCTTTCGTCCGGCGGCCTGCAAAAACTGAACTCTGTAAAAAATCATATAAATTTAGATGTATTTTAGTGAAAGCCCACATTAAAATATTCATATTTTTACTAATTTAGTAACAATTTACGCCCTCTTAAAATTAAATGCTTGAAAAAGAGTATAACTTGATCTTAAAACACTGTTCCAATTTATCATTGAAGACCTATTGTAAACTATACACAGAGCATTAGAATTTGTTTATACACGATGTTTCATGAATTGGAATTTCACGGTTTTACACTATTTCATAAGCAGAAACGTTTTAAAACCAAATTGTAAACCTCTTTCAAGCAGAAAGTTCAAAGAAGACGTTATTTTCTACACACAGTAGTGGGAAAATAAATATTTTATGCATTTTTTCTATTAAATATATTTGCTTTTAAGACTTTGAAAATCAATCAGAAAATTCATACTATTTGTGTAATCATTTTTTAAAAATGCAATTTTTGCAGGCAGCCGGAAAGAATTTCATTTCAAAGCTCGCATCCTAAAATATCGGAATTATTATGAGATTATTTTGCTTAGTGAATAATGTTCCAATGCTACCTGAGTAATCTTTTCGAAGCGAAAACGCATTCTCGAATTTCGGTTAACACTTAATGAGTTAACACACTTACTGTATATGCATATATGAAGAAAAATATGCATGTTATGAAATCACACTAGATAGGGGTTGACGACGAGTTGCAGAACAAAATCAGTTTTATTGCGCGAATTTTCCTTACTGATTTTGCAGCTTTCCTTCAGACATACAAATCATTTGTAAAAAAAACAAACGTTACGATCAAAACTAACTGAGAATTCTCTGGTTGGTCAAAGTTCGCGCTTATATGCAGCTTCTGCAGTCGGTCAGCACAGTAAAATACCCATATCCCGGTTGCAGTCTACTAGCGCTTAACATATTTTAAAACTTAAACTCAAACATTTGTCTACCACGGGTATAACAATGTTAATTTGTTGGTTTAATGCAGTTATATCTGACGACCCTTTGCCCTGGACGGGATTGTAAACCGCACTAGAATCGCTTGTTAGACATACGTTTTACGTCGTATAACAGGGAACAGTATACATTAAACAAGTTAGTTATGAATACACCAACAGAAGGAATTGTAGCTCAAGCTTTTGTTTAACAGGCTACTGCAATGAACCTTCCGCGGTGGCTGTGAAGAAACGTGGGAGCGCAGCCTGCGATTCTGGCGGCTGTTATAACATAAATAGCGGCTGTCCAAATAGCTTTAGGAGGCAGAAGTTCACAACCGTTCCACCACCTTCAAAGCGCACAGAGTTGATGTGGAGTTATTAGGTGCATGCATTGTCTAACTTTTTTTTGCGTTAACATTAGGTCGTCGCGAACTGGGCAACAACCTGATTGAATTTTCAACAACTGTTGCACACAATCGGCTCAATGAAACTCAGTATGTCTTCTGCACAACCAACCGGGACACGCTCTCGATTCAACTCACATGGCCCGTTGAGGGTATGGCATAAAAACCATTTTTCGTCATGCATGAATAAAAGAAGTGAGAAAAGGTAGAGTGCAGGACCCAAACTGGCCTGTGGACCGTTTTGGGAACGATCGTAACGTGGGATCCTAAACCCTATCAGGTAACAATCGGGAGATGGCACCCAAAAAAATTCGTTAACTAGAAATAATACCTTGAACAGTGGACTCAAACGCCTTCAGGCTATATCAGCGGTTGCAGGCCTACTTTCACGCACTACTTGGACATTCCGCGACGGCCTAACATGGGCTGGCCGAACGAACATCGCAGGAGGTTACATGGACGATGGTTGCTGTTACCCAACCTTCCCCATCGGTACACACGTACACCTGAATATACGGCATACATTCGCATTATGACAGTTTATTACAAAACAAAATCACTTTTAAATAGGATAAGTCTGCGCAACATGGGACAGGATCAGTTCCCAGGCATCCGTCAAAGACATGTCATTGAGGCTAAACCAAAGCGATACTGTTCTTCGTCTATGTGAGCCCACACAGCTCTACCACATACAGGGTCTCCCTCGTGGAGTTTCCTTTTCGGTCTATTCTAGTTTGCCTCAATGGTATTGGTGTGCCGTCCGGTGGTAGGGTCCTTGAAGTTCTCTGACTGGTTTACAGATTAATGTAGATAACCTTCTGAGGGAAGACGATTATACGCCCTTCACTCGTCCGTTACCACTATACTGCCTTTGGCGACCCATTTTGTAATAACGGAACGGAGAGCGGGCCAACTTCGATAATTAACCTATTCAAATAAGGCTTTTCGTCGACTAGTATCCTACATCCCGATCAGCCACCACCCATAAAACCCCTATTACCACCTGTCCCGTAAGACAGGCTGCTTTGATTTAGGCGGATTTTTTGGGTGCCATCTCCCGATTGTTACCCCCTAGCGTTATCGTTTCTTTAATTCTTGACTGAATGCAGACCTATAAGCGGTAGGTAGTTTAAATTCGGTTCATTTATGAAAATTGCGCTTACTTCCGTTGACATATGGCAGCGTAAGATAAGACTTTCGATGGAAATTTAGTTATTCTCCCGCCTTTTGCCCGTCCGGGGAAACCCCCTCAACAAATATTTCCATATGACCCGGTCTACAGATTGTCTCACGTTAGTTTGCCTGGTACACTCTACTGTCACTCAAAATGCTTGAGTAGCAGTCGTGGGAGAGTAACTGCAGGCAGTTTAATGGCCGGTAGTTTCCTCCGCAAACTATGCGGATATTGCTTCTGTCATTTTCAAAAGCATGTGCAAAAACCAACGACCAGAGTTCACTTTGTCGATGCCAGCAAGAGAATTCTAACCGAGTTATGCTGCCTGTTCTACGCACGCATATTTTTTTTATTAAAGTAATCATTACGCAAACGGTATAAGTCTTTCTATTATAGTATCTCCAAGTAAAATGGCACGAACGTTACAAAAAAGCGGGCGGTGCATATTTAGGACGCTAACTTGTTCCCATGCAAGAGAATTTAGACCGCAGAATTTCGAATACAAACTTCTTTGGAGTGCCTTCACATTTCTACGCATTTAAGGCGATGGTGCGCAGAACTCATAAAGGTTTTGTTGCGTGTCAAAATTTTAGAGACCACACTCACTCCAACGACCGGAGCAACCGAAAAGCAGACGTCATCCCTGACAGTTGCAGAGGGTAAGACATGTGTTCGTGTTACTTTGAAATGACAGGCCATCTGGTAAAAACAGCACTTCGCACGAAAAGTTCAAGTCCACACATGTCAGAGTTTGTCTGCCCATTGGATGGGCAGAAGTACACAGGCACATATCGTGCGCAGTGTTGGCTATTATACTAGACGTTACATTAAATATTCAGAAGTAGTTTTACAAGGGCAGAGCAATCCAATATTATCCAAGTATACGCACAAATAAATTGCATTAAAAGCAAGCACAGAACATTAAAGGAAAAGGAGAGATGTAATTTGAGAAGTTCCAATTTGGCGTGAATGCTATATTTCCAGAAGAAATACTTAAAATCACAAATTTAAAGAATAGTATCTTACGAAAAAGTAAAATCATCCAGCTCAAACAAATAAGGAAATAGGATTTAAAGTGGATCAACGGAAATGCAAAAATGAAGGTAAAAAATAGTAAGGGAACGAGAAAAAGGACGGATTATAATGTACTTCATGAAAATGAGAGCACAACGCGAGATAAAAAGGCAAGGAAGCCTAAAAAGTAAAAAAGAAAAAGAGAAAACGAAACGAATAAAAAAACAGCTAAAATAAGAGGGAAGAGAAAAAAGAAATGTGGAAAACGGCGAATAGAAAAAAAAACGAAAAAACAGAGAAAAAGAGCAAAGTGATAAACGAAAAATTCAACCAAAAAAGAAGGAAAGAAAGGAAAAATAGGTAAAACAAGAAATATCAAAAAAAAAACCCAAAAAAAGCAACAGCAGCGACAGCGCCAGCAGCGGGGAGCAGGGAGGAGGGAGCAAGATGGAGATGGGCATTGTGTGACTAGAGATGGATTGGTCGGTTGCATTGCGCATGAGGATGGTTGTGCCGAATGTCTACTAAGTGCAACTGAGGTATGCCTTGCATGATTGTCACATAGTGAGCAGAGGTAACGAGGTGGGATTTTGGTGGAAATATGACAGTCGGGCTGGATGCTGATGCTGATGCTGATGAGGATGTTGTTGTTGTTGTTTTGCTGTGGCAGTTGCTGTTGGCCGAGGCATAGCAATTTGTCTGGCATTCACACCGTCTTCAATGGCTTTCTTCCTTTTAGTAACGCCAAGTGAGGGCCTGGGCCTGGCGACAGGAAGTGACGTATCGCATGAATCAGGTTTGTCCACTCTTACCAGTATGATGCCAGTGGGAACTTGTGCATACTGCAGGCGCACATCCACATGCCCCGCTGTCTGCACCTACATATATGTAGATGAAGGCAGCAGAAGCAGTAGTTAGCAGTGCGTCAGGCAATGCAATTGTATGTACATGTTGTTGTTGTTGTTGTTGTTGTTGTTGTTGTTGTTGTT